TTTATATATATTGATATATATATAAAAAATATTTTTCACATTATTTAGTCCATACTATCATTTATTTTATATGACTAATTTTGTTTGTTTTTTTTTGGCAACATTGCAATATATATATATATAATTAAATATTTAACAATTAATTATTTTTTTTGGTTTAGTATGACATTGATATAAAATGACAGTAACAATACTAGTGATAATATATATATATACTATTTCTATGGGGGGGTTAGATCAAAGTTCCTTTAGTTACCTGATTTCCTTTTTTGGGAATTCCTAGAAAATTATTTATGTATGCTATTGAACTTCTAGACAACATATTTTTGAATTAATGATGTTTAAAAAAAACAAATATTATATTTATTTAAAAACTGTATTATTTTGAGTGGTATTGTCATAAATGGCATCAGAAATTGTCAATTAAATTAATTAAAAAAATATACTTTATATAGATTTTAATAAATTTATTTTTTTAATATTTAATTTTTTGGGTACAATAATATTTATAATGTAATATTTTCCATATTTTCCGGTAAAATATTGGGAGGATTTTATTAGGGAACTTCCCTTTCCTAACTCTAACTGCTTTATTAGTATTTATTTTATACAAATATTACAATTTAACCTAGATACAGTAGTTGTTTATTTTAAAAAATTAATAAATCTATTACTATTATATACATATTGATGTTGACTTAAATTAAAATAAAATGTGGATTTCAATGACAAAAATTAATAATAATAGTTATTATTTTTTTGTTTGTTTGTATTATATTTCAAAAAATGTGTTTTTATTACAAATATATTAATTAAATATAACAATAATCTACATTGTCTACAAAATTTAATAATATTAACTATAGTATTTGAAATAAATATTAATAAAAAATATCATAACTAATATATCATTTAAAACATTTGTGTATTTTCAAAAAATAAAAAATTATACTAAACTTTAATTTGATATATAATAAGTAATTTGTAAATTAATTATTTTTGTTTTCGATGAAAATCTTATTAAAAATTTATAAGTAATTTTTTGAATTTTTTCTTTTAAATTTTTAAAAATTAATATAATAAAAAAATTAATAAAAAAATTTATATAACTATTTCACAATAAATATATTATTACAAAATATTCAATAAGTTTTTATATTTATATTATTTATTTAATTGCGAAATTGCGAAATTGCGAAATTGCAATACATTGAATTGAACAAGGTGATTTAAACTTATCATTATGATTATTACTATTATTATTATATTAATTTAAACTAATAAATATTAATAGTGATTATGATTATGATTACAATCAACTTTTTTTCTGTATATAATTATATTAAGTCAATGTATGATAACTACTTTTTGTTAAATAATTATTTTTATTATTATAATTATCAAAATAAATAGCTGTTAAAATATGCAGTTTATATTTTTATTGTAAAATAAATTGTATTATTTTTTTCATAAAGATAATAATATATTTTTAAATAGTAATTAATTGTATAAATAATATTTGTATATTATAATTTAATTGCTAAATAACTTTTATATTTTAAAATAAAACAAAATTTGATAAACAAAAACATATATTTAATATTAATATTAAAATTAGCATTTAATTATTATATACTATATGTTTAAAGTTTAAATAAAAATGATAAATTAATTTTTTATTATTAAATAATTGTTAATATAATTATTATATTAAAATGTATTTAAAATTAACAATTTTTTAAGCATAATAAATACAATTAATAGATAATCTAAAAGTGATTTATTTTATTTTTATAATTGAAAAATATCCATTAAAATTATTTCAAATATTTTATTTGAAATTTTTAAATAAATGATCATTTTAAACCAAATTAAAACTATCAAATTTATATTAAATAATTATATAGATAGATTTTTTTAATAGTATTTAACATGTGTTTTTTTCAATGACAAAATTAAATAAATATCTAGACTGTCAACAATAAAAAAATAAATCAATAAATCTTAAATAGTTAGACAATAAATAAAATAAAACTAAAATATAAATTTTGTAATTATAAATTAGTAAAAACCATATTTATAACATTATAATTAATATAATGTTTATGTTAATTAAATTAAAATTTATATGTACTATATGTACGGTATATGTGTGTGTGTGTGTATAATATCAGCATTAGATTTGTTTAACTAATTTATATTTTATACTATTTTTTAAATGTTTGAATTACTATGTGATTCACCACTTTGGGTAAGTTTTCTAAAAAAAATTAGAAATAAAAATTAGAAATAATTATAATAATATAAATAAAAAAAAGTGTTAACATTAAAAAAAATTACTTATTAATTGTATTATACCTATATTAGCAATTTTGACTAAATTTTTAGTTATTAAGTTATTTAAATTTTATTTAAAATAAAATAAGGATTCCATACAAACCTGGAATACAGAATCACCTAAACTAAGCTCATGTATGATTCAAACAGTATTTGTTTGGTTACCGGCATTCATACTGTGGTTATGTATACCGTATCTGATATGGGATTGTATTAAATCATCGAAAAAGTCAATTCAATGGAATTACTATAATATCAGCCGTTTATTGATAGCCATTGTCTGTACTGGCGTTACATTAGTTGATTGTATACTATGTTTGTGTCGGAGATATCAATGGGACGACAACCCGACCACCGCTAATATATTGGCAACAATTATACAATTTTTTACAAGACTAGCTCTTTGTATAGTTTTCTACTGTCACCGCAAATATGGTATTCACAGTAGTGGTTGTGTTTGGCTATACCTATTGTTAGACACTGTTTTCGGTGCCCTATCAGTGGCCACATATGCCACACAACAAGACATCCGCCGAAACTATGAATTCATATTATATTGTATTGAGTTTTCATTGACAGTTGTTTTACTAGTATTTTGTTTATTTGCCGACCGATTGCCACTAAATACTGATCACAATATAACTGATAATAACAATATATGTCCCGAAAACAGAGCCTCATTTACATCGAAACTGACATTTCATTGGGTAAACAGTTTGATCCTTAAATTTTTAAGACAAAAGTCAACATTAAATGTCAATGACTTATGGACTGTCCGTCCATATAATAGTACTGTATATAACTTTCGACAATTTGCTAAACACTGGAAAACTAATAAACTTAATGACAACAATAATAATAATAATGGCTATAATACTGATAATTATAAGTCATTAAATTATAAAAAATCAAATATCATAACATATTTAGCTTCGTTGACCACATATAAGCAAAAATATTATATAAATAATAATAATGTTAATATTAAAAATAATTGTCAAAATAATTTGCTCTGGGTCCTATTCAAAACATATGGCTTAGGCTATATATTAGCTAGCTCATTGTTTATTGTGGCCTGTATTATACGGGTAATACAACCAATTATTATCAGGTAATGTTTAAAACTATTTATATTAACATAAAAAAATTATATTTTAAATATATAATAATTGTTTTCTTCATAAATATAATTTATAATAAATTTTTTCATATAATTATTTATTAATTTTAGTTTTCTATAATCTAAATTACAATTTAATAATAACTACTGTATGATTATTACTGTTAACTTAATAATTAGATTACTGATTGGTTTTACTCAAAACATGGATGAGCCCCAATGGCACGGGTATGTCTATGCACTGGCATTGGTTGCCATGAATTTGTTTTATTCATTGGTCTATGGATTCTATAGTCAATGGTCAACAGTATTAGGTATTGACAAAAATATATTATTATTATTAATTTTTCTAAAAATTAAATATCAAAACTACATCATTAACTACAAAACTATATTATTATTTTTTGATTATTGCTATAATTTAATGCGAAAAAAATAATTATTATTTAATTATATTAAAAAAAATACAAACAATAGGTCAGCGAATCCGGTCGTGTCTGACATCAGCCGTATATCGCAAATCATTAGTTGTCGACAATAATGATAATAACGGCAACAATGATAGTCAGGTCACTAACGGCGAAATTATTAGCCTAATGGCCATCGATTGTAGCCGTTTTGCCGGTAATTTTAAATGATTACTTAATTTATAAATTATTTTTTTTAATTAATAATAATAATTACACCTAGATGAGCTACAAATGGTCATATTTGCATTCACATCGCCCATACAAATAGCTGTCATACTATACCAGTTTTACACTGAATTAGGATTGTCCTCATTATCCGGTTTGCTAATCATTATCCTACTGTTCCTGATGTGTGCCATTGTATCGAAATATGCTAAACATTTTATTGGCAAACAAATGTCAATCAAAGATCAACGACTAAACATTACTAACGATATGTTGAATGGCATTAAAGTGACAAAAGTTAGAAATTTAATATTTTTATTATTTAAAATTTTTTTTTTAAGGTATATATTATAAAATCAATTTATTAATAACAGTTATACGGCTGGGAGGAGGCGTTTCACAAAATAATAGTCAACTTACGTTTGAATGAAATCAGTCAATTGCGTTGGTCTACACTATTGAACATATCTTATTTTGTTGTGGCACTGTGTGCGCCCTATTGGATAATGTTTGTCACATTCATGGTCTACCTAATGGCCAACACTGATAATGATGATGATGTCCATCGATTGGATGCCCAAAAATTGTTTGTACCCCTAGCCCTGGCTCAGTTTCTCCGGGGTGTACTGATTATGTTTCCCCAGGGAGTCAACTCATTCATATGGGTATAATAATTAATTAATTTTTTTAAATTTGTTATTTTTAGATTAATTAGTCACTAGACTTGAAATAATTCAAATTAAATGATAATATATTGTGTACTTATATAAGATTTTTTTTAATACTGTAAATATTACTTAAAATTTGCAAATTTATTTAATATCTGTTATTATAATTATATTACTTTTAATAGATTTTGATTGCAATCAAGCGTTTAGAAAAATATTTAAATCTCAGCGAAAAATGTGATTACTTGAGTCGTATGGATGATAATGTTAGTGATAGTAACTATCAGTGTGTAGTTAGTGTAACAAACGGACGGTTCAGTTGGGAAACAACATCAAAACCAGCACTAGTAGCCAAAAATGGTAAACCAATAACTACTACTACTACTACTCCTACCACTGGATCGGCATTTAGATTGGATAATATTAACTTGAAAATCAGGGACAAACAATTTGTAGCAATTGTCGGTAATGTAGGCTCAGGTAAATCATCACTACTGGCCGCACTGTTTGGCGAAATGCAATTATTATCGGGAAAAGTTAGTATCGGAAATGGAAATGGTAGCAAAATAGCGTACGTTCCCCAACAGGCATGGATACAGAATGCATCGCTCAAAGACAATATACTATTTGGCAAACCATTGGATACCGATCTCTATGATCGAGTCGTAAGCGGCTGTGCACTGGAACAGGATCTCAAACAACTGCCAGCCGGAGATCAGACAGAGATCGGCGAAAAGGGTATTAATTTGAGCGGCGGTCAGAAACAGAGAGTCAGTTTGGCCAGAGCTGTGTATTCCGATGCCGACCTATACCTAATGGACGACCCTTTAAGTGCCGGTATTTACTATTGTAATTATATACTATTTTTTATTAATTTCTATTTACATTTCCATAAAAGTGGACAGTCATGTGGGCAAACATCTAATGCAAGAAGTATTAGATTCAAGGACTGGTATATTGAAAAATAAAACCCGAATTCTGGTAACAAATCAACTCTTTGTGTTACCAAATGTTGATCTGATTGTTGTCTTAAATGACGGCAATATTACAGCAATCGGTTCATATGATTATCTAATGAATGAAAATAAAGAGTTTTCTGATTTAGTCAAACAATATTCAGTTAACGATGAAAATAATGATAATAATAATGAAGATAACTATAGTATTAATAGTTTTTATAGTATTAGTAGTTTTAATAGTTGTAAAAGCAGTAGTAATAGTAGTAATAATAATAATAATAATAATAAACGACTTATTTGTGATGAATATCTAGAGTCGGGTGATGTTAACTATACGGTTAGTATTTAATTTTTAATAATAATAATAAAATATTTAAATTTTAATAGTATGATAATAAAAAAATTTTTTATATAAATATCTTAATCTCATTTAATTAGGTTTATCTGAAATACGCCAAACAAATGTCGATAATGTTGTCGACGCTGACGATTGTATTTATTGTCATCTCATTTGCCTTTACTATTGGCATCAACTTTTGGCTCAACACATGGAGCCAACAACAAGAACAACATAGTAGTATCGGTGCCCATCACTCAAACAGCTACTATCTGGCAATTTTGGCCGCACTGACCATCGGTCAGATACTGACACTGTTTGTCGGTCGGTTTGCACTGGTTTTCGGTTCGCTGTTGGCGTCGACCCGAATGCACGATAGGCTGTTGTGGTCTGTCATGCGATCGCCGATGAAATTCTTCGACACCACACCATTGGGTCGTATAGTCAACCGATTTAGTAAAGACATGGACACTATAGATACGGTCACTTCATTTATGTTAGGGTTAGTTTAAATCATTTATTAGTCTAAATGTAATATACAGGTAGACTGTACTATAATATACATTTTTTTTATAAATTATATGTATTTATTTATTTCAAAACAGTTATGTTTTAGATTTATCATTGCTATGCCTGTCGGGTATAATTGTCATATCGATAGCCACACCATTGTTTGTAATCCCAGTAATCATATTGTTAATCATATTTTATATATTTCAGGTAATTGTATAATAAATTTCTACTTAAGATATATTAATTAAGTAAAAGCAACAACAAAAAAATTAAAGCAAAAAATATTTTTAAAACTATAATTTTTTTTTAGCATTTTTATACAAAATTATCATGTCAACTAAAACGGTAATAATAATAATATTAATAAATAATTTAAAATTTAAAAAAAAATAAGTAAATAATTATTTTATTGGATTAATAAAATAGTTTGGAGTCAATCACTCGGTCGCCAATATTTGCCTATTTTAGCGAAACACTAAACGGTTTGCCGAGTATTAGAGCGTATGGATGTAGCGATAGATTTATTGGGCACATGGAGTCACTGGTCGATACTAACCAACGGTGTCAATATCCTAATGTTTTAGCTAACAGTTGGCTACAAATCCGATTGGACTGTTTGTCGAGTACACTGATGTTTTTTGCCGCATTGTTCATAATATTACAGCGCCAGTCGTTAACGGGCGGCGACACCGGTATGTCGCTATCAAACGTAACCAACCTATCCTATGTGGTCGGCCTATTGGTCAGATTGTTTACTCAGTTTGAGAACAGTATGGTTTCGTTTGAACGCATTGACGAATACTGTCGACTGGAATCGGAAGCCGACTTGATTAGTGGTCAACAATTATCAGACAACTGGCCAACCAATGGATGTGTTGAGTTTAGACAGTATAGTACCAGATATAGAGAGGAATTGGATTTAGTATTAAATCAAATCAATTTGGACATCAAATCTGGCGAAAAGGTATAATCAATATTTAAAACTTATTAATAATATTATTACTAAACTATTTGAAAAACAGATCGGAATTGTTGGCCGAACCGGTGCGGGAAAGTCATCTCTAACGTTAGCATTGTTTCGACTGATTGAATCGGTTTCGGGTAAGATAGTCATCGACGGCATCGATATCAGTCAACTGGGTCTTCAACAACTGAGATCAAGGTTGACAATCCTACCACAAGACCCGGTACTCTATACGGGAACTATTCGCTCAAATCTGGATCCGTTTGACAAGTGTTCCGACGATGACTTGTGGTCAGTGTTAGAGCACTCGCATCTCAAGTCGTTTGTCAAGTCATGCGATGCGGGACTTGACTATAGGGTAACTGAAGGCGGAGACAATTTGAGTGTTGGTCAGCGACAACTCATATGTCTGGCCCGAGCTTTACTACGCAACACACGTGTGCTTATCCTCGACGAGGCCACGGCTGCGGTAGACGTCGAGACCGATGCACTTATACAGCAAACAATTAGACAACATTTCAAGTCTTGTACTGTACTAACAATAGCTCACAGACTCAACACAATTATGGATTCAGACCGTGTATTAGTGTTGAATGAGGGACGGGTAGCTGAGTTTGATTCGCCTAATAATTTGCTAAATAATGAGACAACTATTTTCTATTCCCTGGCCAAAGATGCGGCAATTATTTAAAATTATTATTACGTATTTAATATACTTACATAATTTCTGCATAACTTTTTGTTTTAGTTTATACTGTATTAGCGTAATATTGTATATTAATTTTTTTTAACTAAATTGAGTAACTAATAATAATTATTTTAATATAAGTTAAATAAAATAAAATAAAATTAATGAACTAAATAAAGTAAAGTACAATTTAATTATTAAAAATTATAACGAATAATATGTCATAATATAAGTATAATTAAATTATATATTTGTAATTAAATTGAATGAATGAATAAATTAAAATTTTTATTGAAAACTATATTTAGAAACCTATTTAATAGTTTTAATGTAAAATACTAAAAATAGTTTATTGTAAATAATTTACTAATTAAAAATTTTTAATTAACTTATTTTAATTACATAAACTAAATTAATTCACACATAAGATTATATATAATATATTTTTATTAAAATTTAAAAAATAAATTATTTATTAATTATAATTTTATTCATTAATTAGCATTTTATTATTATTAATTGACATATTAAATCTATTATTTATATTTATATTTTATACTAATTTAATTTATTTATTTATTAAAATTAAATGTTGCAATTTAAATGCAATATATTATCATTTTATATAAGTTTTAAAAAAGTTTATTTAAATTAATTTTTTATGAAATACTTTACCAAAGTTAATAAGCTGTTAAGTATTAATATAAAAATTAAAAATAATCTTATTATTGTTTTGCATTTATAACCTCTACAGTATATTTATATAAATGTTTATATCATATATTATAATTTTAAAAAAATTTATTCATAGTGGCAATACCAGGCTTATATAGCTTTAAAAAAATTATATATATATTTTAGTATAAAATAGTATTAAACAATAATTATGTATCATTATAATTATTATCTGTTTATTATATTTATGTTAATTTTTTAATTACATGAACAATGTTTTTACATGTTGTATTGCACTTATACATTGTAATAAATATATTTATATGAATTAATTAATATTAATTATTATTACATCAACATTTTTATAAGTAAATTTTTTAAAAATTTATTGTATATATTAAACAATATATATTACTACATATATATTAATTTTTATATATCATATTATATATATAAAGTTGCTTTTATGTCATTAAAATTACAAAATAGATAAATATTTGTATAAAATATGAAATAATTTACTAATGTAACACATAAATGATTATGAGTTTTTATTTATTTATTTATTTATTTATTTATTTAATTTCATAATATACTACAATAACCTATATAAATTATATCAATAAATAGTATTAAATTCATTGACATTTTTATAATATATGAAATATTTATTTAGTATTTTAATTGTATAAAATTTTGAAATATCTTTAAAAGTGTTAAATAAGTATTTTTTTATTGTTGGTTATAACTTAAAGATTTTTAGAAAATAAATTTTATTAATTTGTTTTTTTGTTGTTGTTGTAAATTGAGTTTAAATTTTAATAAATGTTTGAATTGATATGCAATTCATCACTTTGGGTAAGTAATAGGAGGATATATATATTATTATATAAATTATAATAATAAAAAATATCAATAATATAGTATATATATTATATAATATTTTTTAATTGTCAAAAACCCAAAATAATTTTTTAATTAATAATACAATTATTTTTACCTATTGTATCTATTTTATCCAATTATTTCTAAATTTTTTTCTATTAATGTTTAACAAAATAAGATTTATTGAAAACAAATATATTAATAATAAATAGTTTATTTCTATTGATATTATAATAAAAATTAGTTATTATTTCTATTATAATATACTATCAATTTAGTCTAAATTTCTATAAATTAAATTTAAATAAATTTTAAAACATAAGGATTCCAACCAAACCTGGAATACAGAATCACCTAAACTAAGCTCATGTATGATTCAAACAGTATTTGTATGGTTACCGGCATTCATACTGTGGTTATGTATACCGTATCTGATATGGGATTGTATTAAATCACAGAAAAAATCAATTCAATGGAATTATTATAATATCAGCCGTTTATTGATAGCCATTGTCTGTACTGGCGTTACATTAGTTGATTGTATACTATGTTTGTGTCGGAGATATCAATGGGACGACAACCCGACCACCGCTCATATATTGGCAACAATTATACAATTTATTACAAGACTAGCTCTTTGTATAGTTTTCTACTGTCACCGCAAATATGGTATTAACAGCAGTGGTTGTGTTTGGCTATACCTATTGTTGGACACTGTTTTCGGTGCCCTATCAGTGGCCACATATGCCACACAACAAGACATCCGTCGAAACTATGAATTCATATTATATTGTATTGAGTTTTCATTGACAGTTGTTTTACTAGTATTTTGTTTATTTGCCGACCGATTACTGACACTAAATATTGATCACAAGATAACTGATAATAACAATATATGTCCCGAAAACAGGGCCTCATTTGCATCGAAACTGACATTTCATTGGTTAAACAGTTTTATCATAAAGTTTTTGAAAAAACAGTCAATACTTAATGTCAACAATTTATGGACTGTCCGTCCATACGATAGTACTTTATATAATTATCAACGTTTTGCTAAACACTGGACTACTGCTACTACTACTACTACTACTACTACTAATAATAATAATAATACAAACAAACAAATTAATGCTAACAATAGCTATAAAAATGATAACTATAATTTATTAAATAATAAAAAATCTAATTTAATTAAAAATTTGACATCGTTTAGAAAATATAAACAAAAATATCAGATTAATAATAATAATAATAATATTAAAAATAAAAATGTGTTTGCAAAACAAAATTTGCTCTGGATACTATTCAAAACATATGGACTAAGCTATTTATTAGCTAGCACATTGTTTATAGTTTCCGGTATTGTACGTGTAATACAACCCATTGTTATCAGGTAATTAATTATTTTTTTTAGTTATTGTTATATTTGATGTAAATTTTAACAAAACTTTATTTTTAAAAAATTAAATTGCATTTATAGATTGTAAATATAATTATTTGAATTAATTAATATAATTAATTTTATTACATAACAACTTTCTAAAGTAGATAAACTTTTAATATACTATATATGATATATTATAATACACTTATATTGTCGAGTAATTTTAAACAAATAAATAATTACATGATTATTATTTTTTTTATTTATCTAAATAAATATCTAATATATATATAAGATTAATGATTGGTTTCACTCAAAACATGGATGAGCCCCAATGGCACGGGTATGTCTATGCACTGGCATTGGTTGCCATGAATTTGTTTTATTCATTGGTCTATGGATTCTATAGTCAATGGTCAACAGTTTTAGGTAATCACTAACAAAAATTATTAATAATTAATATTATTTTTTTAATATAATTTTTTAAAAATCTGAAAAAATCAAAAAAATCCTGTTATTTAATGTGGAAAACAAATAATATTATTTTAATTTAATTTTCATAAAACACTTACTCAACAAACAATAGGACAGCGAATCCGGTCGTGTCTGACATCAGCCGTATATCGCAAGTCATTAGTTGTCGACAATAATGATAATAACGGCAACAATGATAGTCAGGTCACTAACGGCGAAATTATTAGCCTAATGGCCATCGATTGTAGTCGTTTTGCCGGTATATTAATTTTTTTTAACTATTAATATTATTTTTCAAAAAAAATTTTAATATATAAATAATCATTTATTTTTTTAAAAATTATTCCACCTAGATGATCTACCATTAGTAATATATGCATTTATGGCACCCATACAAATAGCAGTCATACTATACCAGTTTTACGTTGATCTCGGTTTGTCATCGTTGTCCGGTTTGGTTATCATTGTCCTACTGTTCCTGATGTGTGCCATTGTATCGAAATATGCCAAACATTTTATTGGCAAACAAATGTCAATCAAAGATCAACGACTAAACATTACTAACGATATATTGAATGGCATGAAAGTTACAAAAGTATTTGATTTATAATATTTTTATTATTTCAACAACAACAAAATATTTTAAAATTAATTAATTAATAAATAGTTATACGCCTGGGAGGAGGCGTTTCACAAAATAATAGTCAACTTACGTATCAACGAAATCAAACAATTGCGTTGGTCTACACTGTTGAACGTATCGTATTTTGTAACGGCCTCGTGTGCACCCTATTGGATAATATTTTTTACATTCATGGTCTACCTATTGACCAACGTTGATGCCAATCAATTGAATGCCCAAAAATTGTTTGTACCCCTAGCCCTGGCCCAATTTCTCCGGGGTGTACTGGTTATGTTTCCCCAAGGAGTCAACTCATTCATATGGGTATAACAGTTGATTATTATTTTATAATTTTGTTTTTTGTTAGTTAATAGTTAATAATTAATATAACTTAATGTAATATATATGATAAGTAATACAAATAATTGTTATTTATAATTTATCTGTTATTAAATTTATTTGTGACTCTTTTAAGCTATTTATTTATTTTTTAAATAGTTATATTAGTTATGTTAAAAATTTTTTAAAAACAGTATTTATTTTTTTATTTTTTTTTGTCTAATAGATTATGATTGCAATCAAGCGTTTAGAAAAATATCTGAATCTCAACGATAAATGTGAATATATTAAACAAAATGATGGTAACAGTGATGCTGATCATCAATGTATGGTTAGTGTAACAAACGGTCGGTTTACTTGGGAAACAACACCATCATCATCATCACCAGCACTAGTAGCTAAAAATATTGAACCAATAACTAACAGTGCTACATTTAGTTTGAATAATATTAATTTGAAAATACATGAAAAACAATTTGTGGCAGTAGTCGGCAGTGTTGGCTCCGGTAAGTCATCACTGCTGGCGGCACTGTTTGGCGAAATGAAACTACAATCAGGAACGGTTAGCTACGGTAGAGGAAAGGGTAGCAACAAAATAGCTTACGTTCCCCAACAGGCATGGATACAGAATGCATCGCTCAAAGACAATATATTGTTTGGCAAACCATTGGATACCGGTCTCTATAAAAGAGTAGTCCGCGGCTGTGCACTGGAACAGGATCTCAGACAACTGTCCGCTGGAGATCAGACAGAGATCGGCGAAAAAGGTATTAATTTGAGCGGCGGTCAGAAACAGAGAGTCAGTTTGGCCAGAGCTGTGTATTCCGATGCCGACCTATACCTATTGGACGACCCATTAAGCGCCGGTATTTACTATTGTAATTATATACTAAAATATTTTTTATATTAATTTGTATTTACATTTTCATAAAAGTGGACAGTCATGTGGGCAAACATCTAATGCAAGAAGTATTAGATTCAAGGACTGGTATATTGAAAAATAAAACCCGAATTCTGGTAACAAATCAACTCTTTGTGTTACCAAATGTTGATCTGATTGTTGTCTTAAATGACGGCAATATTACAGCAATCGGTTCATATGATTATCTAATGAATGAAAACAAAGAGTTTTACGATTTAGTCAAACAATATTCAGTTAACAATGAAAATAATGATAATAATAATGAAGATAACTATAGTATTAATAGTTTTAATAGTAATACTACTACTAATAATAATAGGGATAATAAAAATGATAATAATATTAATAATAAACGTGAGAGTAGATTATCAATACATAGCAATAAAATTAGACAACTTATTTGTGATGAATATATAGAGTCGGGTGATGTTAACTATACGGTTAGTATTTAATTTTGTAAATATTTTTATTTAAATAATTAATATAATAAAATAGATAAAATAATAGCACTACATATAGCTATCTAAACTAAGCTATAAACTATACAGTATATACCGGTATATATTTGAATAAATAAAAAATAGTTTAAATTATTAGATCTAAGTTATAACAAATAAATAATTAATTTTCTATTTTCTATTCAATATTAGGTTTATCTAAAATACGCCAAACAAATGTCGATAATGTTGTCGACGCTGACGATTGTATTTTTAATCATCTCAGCTGCCGTTACCATTGGCATCAACTTTTGGCTTAAGACATGGAGTCAACAACAACAACATAGTACTACCGGTGTTCACCACACAAACGGATATTATCTGGCAATTTTGGCCGCACTGACCAGCGGTCAGATATTGACACTGTTTGTCGGTCGGTTTGCACTGGTTTTCGGTTCGCTGTTGGCGTCGACCCGAATGCACGATAGGCTGTTGTGGTCTGTCATGCGATCGCCGATGAAATTCTTCGACACCACACCATTGGGTCGTATAGTCAACCGATTCAGTAAAGATATCGACACTATAGATACGGTCACTGCATTTACTTTGGGGTAATACTAATAATAATAATACTAAAAGTTTTATACAAAAAATAATATTTTGATTTTAAATGTATTTTTTTGTTATTAATTAATTAATATATCTGTTTATTTCAAAACAGTTATGTTTTATATCTATCATTGGTATGCCTATCGGGTATAATTGTCGTATCAATTCCTGTACCATTGTTTATGATACCTGTAGTCGTACTTATAATCATAATTTATATATTTCAGGTAATTATTATTATTATTATTGATATAGTAAAAGCTAAACTTATAATAATAAAAAAATTATATTATATATATATTTGAAAATAAAAATAATTTAATTATTTTTAAAAAATATATTCTAGCATTTCTATACAAAAATTTCATGTCAACTAAAACGGTAAATGTGTAATAATATATATATATATATTAATTGAATTAAATTATTATTTTTTTGCATATTAATAGTTTGGAGTCAATAACTCGATCGCCAATTATTGCCTATTTTAGCGAAACATTAAACGGTTTGCCAAGTATTAGAGCTTATGGATGTAGTGATAGATTTATTGGGCACATGGAGTCACTGGTCGATACTAACCAACGGTGTCAGTATCCCAGTGTTGTTGTGAACAGTTGGCTACAAATCCGGTTGGACTGTTTGTCCAGTGCACTGATATTTTTTGTCGCACTATTGATAATATTGAAACGTCAGTCGCTAACCGGCGGCGACACCGGTATGGCGCTGTCCAACGTAACCAACCTGTCCTATAATCTCGGCCTAATTGTCCGAATGTTTACACAATTTGAGAACAGTATGGTTTCGTTTGAACGGATCGACGAGTATTGTCGGCTGGAATCGGAAGCCGACTTGACTTCTGGTCAACAATTACCTGATAACTGGCCAACCAATGGATGCGTTGAGTTTAGACAGTATAGTACCCGATATAGAGAGGGATTGGATTTAGTGTTAAATCAAATTGATTTGAACATCAAATCGGGTGAAAAGGTATAAATTATTTATAAAAATGTATTTTTTTAAACATTATTACTAAACTATTTGAAAAACAGATCGGAATTGTTGGCCGAACCGGTGCGGGAAAGTCGTCGCTAACGTTAGCATTGTTTCGACTGATTGAATCGGTTTCGGGTAAGATAGTCATCGATGGGATCGATATCAGTCAACTGGGTCTTCAACAACTGAGATCAAGGTTGACAATCCTACCGCAAGACCCGGTACTCTATACGGGAACTATTCGTTCAAATCTGGATCCGTTTGACAAGTGTTCCGACGATGACTTGTGGTCAGTGTTAGAGCACTCGCATCTCAAGTCGTTTGTCAAGTCATCCGATGCGGGACTTGACTATCGTGTGACTGAAGGCGGAGACAATTTGAGTGTCGGTCAGCGACAACTTATATGTCTGGCCCGAACTTTGCTACGCAATACACGTGTGCTTATCCTCGATGAGGCCACGGCTGCTGTAGACGTGGAGACCGATGCACTTATACAGCAAACAATTAGACAACATTTCAAGTCGTGTACTGTACTAACAATAGCTCACAGACTCAACACAATTATGGATTCAGACCGTGTGTTAGTGTTGAATGAGGGACGGGTAGCTGAGTTTGATTCGCCTAATAATTTGCTAAATAATGAGACAACTATTTTCTATTCCCTGGCCAAAGATGCGGCAATTATTTAAGAAATCATAAGTAATATATATAAATTATATATATATATATATATATATATATATATGCATTTTATTTTTGTATAAATATTATTTTATATAATTTTAATTAAAAATCAAAAATAAATATTTATTGTAAATACTTTATATGAAATTTAGATGATTACATAATTATCTGCAATCAATTAAATTTACAGTATCTAATCTAAATATTTATTTTTATAATTTTATTTTAATTAAAAAAATTCATTATATTTATAAAAAAATATATTACTTTATATTACAATTAATTATTCACGAATTCTGGAAAATTTCTAAAAATTATAAAAATATATAAAAAGTTTAATATAAATATAATACTAATTTGTATATAAAACTATAATATTATTCATTAATAAATAATTAATATTTAATTCAGGGTTGCTAAAGGGGGGGGGGGGGGGGGGGGGTAAGACGTCTTACCCCCCCCCTGAGATCGAGAAATTTTGGCTTTTACCCCCCTGGCCTGAAGCCAGAAAGTTAGGGGCCCCCTACTAATTTTCGGCGCCGAAGGCGCCGAAAATTTTTTTCAATTATGTAAAATTTTATATTAAACAAAAAAATAAATATTAAATTAGTTTTAATATAAATTAATAGCTTATGTATAGAAAATAAATAGATAAAAATGCTTAATTACATCAATTTAACATTATTTACACTAGTTAGGGCACTCCACAAGCTAAAAAATAAATTCCCACCAAATTTTCAAAAAAATTAATGATATTTTATTTTATTTATAGCTGTTTATAAAAGATAATATATATTTTATTTCTTATTAAAAGTCGAAAACTAAGATTTTTAGCATAAATTTTAAAATAATTATATTTTAATATTTTTAAACTTTATATTAAAATTTGGTAGTTATGTGCTTTAAAAATAATAATAATAATATTAACTAAATATTACATAAATAGAGTTGGGGCACTCCACAAGGAAAAAAGCTCCCTAATAAATTCCCACCAATTTTCAAAAAAAATAATCAAATATTTTATTTTATTTTTTAGCCTTTATAAATGATAATATTTATATATATCATTTCTTATTAAAAGTAGAAAACAAATTTTTAGCATAAATTTTAAAGTTATTATATTTTAATATTTTTAAATTTTATAGTAAAATGTGTTAGTTATTTTTCAATATGAAATACTATGTAAAAAAATATTCTTAAATTAATTATTTAGAACTAATTATTTATTTCTGACAATTTTATTATTATTATTATTAAAACGTTTTAATAAATACAGTATTAAAATGTGTTAGTTATGGTTCAATATAAAATACTAAAAAAATATATATTTTTAAATTAAATTAATTATTTAGAACTAATTAATAATTATTTCTGCCAATTTTATTATTATTATTATTAAAACGTTTTAATAAATACAGTATTATATCATTAATTTTTAATCAATAACTATTTTTTTAAAATCTAAATAATATTTTTATTTAATAATTATAATTATATTTGTTATATATATATTTATGCAATTTTTAATATTTAGAAAACATTTTGAGTATTGAGAAATTAAGTTGAGAATATTTTTATTTGTTAATTTATTGAAAATTTAATGGGAATTTAGCGGGAATTTAGTGGGAATTTAGTGGGAATTTAGTGGGAATTTAGTGGGAATTTAGTGGGAATTTAGTGGGAATTTAATGGGAATTTAATGGGAATTTAATGGGAATTTACTCAAATTTGGCAAAAATTGTCGTTTAAAAATGCAATAAAAAATGTTCACCCCCCCCTATACCCCCCCCCCCCAAGCTTTTTCGAAAATTTTGCCATTTTACCTCCCCCTATACCCCCCCCCCCCTGAAATCGAAAACCTTTAGCAACCCTGATTTAATTGAATAATAACTTATTAAATAATTATTTTTCTATTAAATAATATAAATTTTATTTTAATTGCAAATAAATGAATTAATTTTTAGTTCAAAATTTTAAATTATAAGTTAATTAACAGTTTTGTAATGATATTTCGTAAAAGACAATTTAATATTTAAATTTAATAATAATAAAAATTAAAAAATAATATATAATTTATAACATTAACTATTATTTAGGAAAGTTTATTAGTTAATAATTAGTTGATCAATTGGACAGTTAGTTTGCGTGAGTTTTTATGCGAAAACAAACCGATGAAATCAAAAATTTTTATAAATAGTTAGACATTTAGTTAAAATAAACAACAAATAATTTTATTAAAATAAATATATTGATTGTCGTAATAGATTAATACTAAATAAAATCCATTAATAAAAACATTAATTGACCGCAAAAATAGATGTATCGAAAAAACTCTAAACTATTGATTGGAAACAAATCATAGCAATAGATACCAATTGTCGGACCCGACAGACGCTCCACATATATAAGCAATTTTAGGCGCATATGTATGGATAGTGTCGGATGTTTTGCCAAATAACTGTTTAGCAGTTTAAGTGGTAAATGAGCCGATTTGGAGATCCATGTGTTCAATATATTTGTTAATAATATATTTGAACAGCAAAATAATACTATAATTATAAATATTATTTTCGTATAAATTGTCGACTGTCGATGAAATGTAGCGTAAAATGATAATAGCATAGCAGGGGTTACGATATAATAAATACAAAATGTAATCAAACAAAATGTTTTATTTATTTTTTCAATATCTTCTACAAATCTATTGTGACTATTAATAGTATTAATAAGTTTTATTGGATAAATTATTTGCCATTTGTTTGATTTAAGCAAAATTAAATGTAATTCATTATATAGTTTATTCAAATATTGTTTCGCATAACTGCCAATTGAATACCAAAAAGTAACACCAATGAAACCTATTGAATAATCTTTCAATATTGCCATAAAATGTATGAACACTGATATCGTAAACCTAATTATCCAAACATAGGATGAATTTGTATCAAAATCATCAATTAGTGCCAATTTATAGGAATATATAACCATTGCAATTGAAGCCAATGTTGTTAACCAAATCATTGGCGATACTATATAATTGATAATAATATTGCCATTAAATGCCCACTTTTTTATAACATATTTTTTTAATCGATGTTCATATAAGTTGTATTTAATTTTATGAAATATTTTAATCACATGAAATGTATGATTTATCTCATGATAATTGATAACAAATCCAATACAAAATACAGTCAATGAATAGATAGCCGACAAACAAGATATTAGTATTGATTCAGACATTTTATATGTCGCGTCTCCCAACAGATCCCTAATCCATAGCTTATAATTTGATTAAATAAATAAATAAATAGTTATCTATTTATTTAAATTACTATTATACTCATACATATATATATATATATATATACACTGTATATATTGTATAATAAATAAATTAATTAATAATATTTACTTTATTAACAATAGATGTTAGACTATATCGCAAACAATTAGCCAATTGTATTGATTGTGTTATGAATACCATTACTAACTGACGTTTACTCCACTGTTGTCTCAATACATAGCTATCAGTGCTTTCACTTAAAAATATATGATATTTATAAAAAGCTTTTATCTGTCGGTCAATATATAGCTGGATATTATAATTGCTGTCATTTAAAACAACTAATGATTTAACTTTTGATATAATAGTATTCAACATTTTTAAAATATTAGTTATAATATAATATAAATCATTAAACAATATTTGTCTAATTATTTAATTAAATGTCATATACTTTAAATAGACTATTCATAAATGCAAGAAATATATGATAAATAATATTATAATATTGTTATAATGTATTTATTTCAATAAAATTATTGATAAAGTAATCATCAATCAATATATAATTTTTTGTTTTTTAATTAATGCAAAAAATATATTTGTAATAATATTTATTTATAAATATTATAATTATAATTATATATTATTTTATTTATAATATATTAATCTTAAAAATAAATTAATAATATATTTTAGGTTTTTTTTAAATAAAAATATTGAAATAATAATTAATAATATATTTTATGCTTTTAGGATTTTAATATTTTATGAATTATTTTTATTATTAACTTTTATGATTATAAAAGAAATATATTTTATATATATATATAATACCATAAAAATTATAAATTAAAAAATAATAGAAATCCTTATTAATATTCATTAGATTTATGATAATATTTATTTTTACGGCAAACTTTTGAGAGGTATTAATATTTATAAATATGTTTTGCCATACATTTAAAAAGTTTTAAAAATTTAAATCAATCATTATATAATTTTTTGTTTTCTAAAAAAATATCAGTAATATACAGTATAAACTACTTAAAACTATTAAAATAATTATTATATTTTATTTTATTTAATATTTTATTGAATAGTATTTAAAAAATTATATACTAAAAAACAATAAATGATTTAATTTTTGATATAATAGTATTAAACATTTTTAAAATATCAGTTATAATACAATATAAATAATTGAACAGTATTTGTCTAACTTGTAAGTATTATCTGTTATTTAATTAAATGTCATATACTTTATATAGACTATTCATAAATGTAAGAAATATATCATAATCTAACAATTAAATGATTTTTATAATTTTGTTGAAATAAATTTATTTTAATAAAATTATTGATAAAGTAATCATATAATTTCAATATCAACATCAATATAATTTTTTTAATTAGTGCCAATAGTATATAACATAATCTACTTATAAATATGAAAATTATTTTTATATATTAGTTTATTTAATATTATTAATCTATATTATTTTTTTTAATTTATTAAATTATTTTATTTTTATCTACTATTTAAATATTTATTATAGAATAACAAATATGTTTATAAATTACTGTTTTCATAATATTCAAAAATGTTGTTTAGTTTCAAAATAAATTGAAAAAGTAATTAATAATATTTTTTAAGTTAATATATTAAATAGTATTATAAATATTCTATATATATATATATATATATATATATATAGT